AATTAAATTTAGAATTATATAAAAAATAATAATAATAATAATAAGACAAAAATACGAAAAATCGCAATATTATTTATTTAAATCTATAACACTGTAAATGTAATGAAATTTATAGCAGCATCATAAAAAATTTCAATTTTCTGATATTTTTACAAAGTTATTATAAATCTAATAGTCTAAAAGCAGAAAAATGTAAGTAAATAGAATTATTTGTAAATTCTGTTTATTTTTTCTTCTAGGTAAAGGGAAAAAAGTCATTGGTATATTAGGTAGTTCTGCAGAATTGCCATGTGAAGTGGACGTTGAAAAATGTGGCGAAGTTTTTTATACAACTTGGGCAAAAGAAATTTCGAATGAGTGGAAACGTATATATTTCAACGATGGAGGTAGAATGGAGAAAGGACTTCAAGAACTGGCTTTTCCAGATAAAGCAAAATTTTTCATGAACGACTCATCAGCGTACCTTCGAATATCTTATCTTAGAATTGAAGACGAAGGATCTTATCGCTGTGACGTCACCTATACAAAACCTTGTCCTTCTCTAACTTTCTCATCCTTAATAATACAGGGTAAGAGTAAATCGAACCTTCATTCATAACCGGGAGGGTCATTAATCTTTGGCCCATAACTCTTTGAGATGGGTTTGTTAATTTTGACAAGTGGTAAGATAAGAGGAATCGATGAGTACTCTCGGCTCGAGATAGCAGCAAGAACCGAGTATTTGATAGTTGATCGATAAGAAAAATTCTAGCATTTGTTAATGGGCCTGTGTCATGTAAATCACTTTTTAAACAAATAGATCATTTTATGGATACATTTAATTATGTCTTCCTTTTCAATACCTGTCATCCTTTATCTGTATTCCAAAAAGTGGACTTTTAAATGGGCTACGAAACGATTAAAGGCGAACATAACCATGATTCAACGTTGTTACTATCAGTTGAAGAGGAATGGTTGGCAGAATTAAATTATTGGTTCATCCCCGTAATTAACTCCAAATTTTCTATTGCAATCTATTACGAAATTTATCATGGTTTATTTGAAATTTATCACATTTAAACTAAAACTAAGTACCCAATTCGATTATTCGAAGCAATGAAATGATAATTGCCCTTTTACTCTATATATTTTCTCATTTAATTTTATTGATAATTAAATTAAATTATTTTAAATGATCGAAAGAAAAATTATCTCTTGAAAAACTGCTGCAATATGACATTTTTCCTATTTAAATAATCCATCAAACGTAATTTTTTTTAAAAATATATATTTTTTAATTTTAAATTTAAAAAAAAACGAAAGAAAATCTGCATATGTTTAAAATGCTCCAGGCTTTATTTTTCTTATTACTGTATTAATTTTTAAAATTAATTAAAAATCAAGAAATAACATCAAATACTTTAAGTGTAGAGCTATATATCTGCTTTAATAATGATTAAATATTTTAATATCATAGATTAAAAAAAATACAAATTTAATTCTATTAAACTTTAAAGACAATTATTAGATTTATAATTAAATTTTTTTTCATTTATTCATAACATATATTTATCGAATTTAAATTTTTAGTTCGACCAAGTCCTCCAGAAATTCAACACGAAGACAAGTTGATAGAGCATGGTACTATAATAGGTCCTTTTCAAGAAAAATCAGTTCTTTCTTTAGATTGTGAATCGCAGGGAGGTAAACCGACCGCAAAAGTCACATGGTGGAAAGATGATGAAAGCTTAGATTCTGATATATCATACACCAACAACAGTTATGGATCAAAGGACATTAAATCCTCCATTGATTTAACTCTTAGTAGGGATGATATTGGAACCAGATTAATGTGTCGAGTTGAAAACGAAGCTCTCGATAAACCACTCGAAAGCTGGGTTGAAGTTGATTTAAACGGTAAGGAAATCATTTTCTTTCATCAAAAATTCACCAGAAAAAAAGAATATGAACATTAGGAGCCTATACGAAATATTTTTTTATATACTTAAATACTTAGGAAGATTTATTTTTTAAAAATTAATTTAATGTGTTTTAAACTTAATTTAGGTATCCAATTATTTGGAATTACATAAAATAGCATTTAAAATTGTCTTCAGTTCATTTTTATATTGTTATATCACTTATATTTCCTGTTACATTTGAATTATATAAAAATTTTACATCTCAAATATTTAAAAATTCAATTAACTAACTAATGTTTTTAATATTTGAATAAAGAAACCTGAAACCTCAAATTGTAAAGATTAAATAAAGAAAATTAAATCTCAGTTTTCTGAAATAAAATTTATATTTTAACACTTTCAATTTCTCTTAAAGTGTATTATTTTCAAATATTAGTTTTATAATTTTAAATTTATATTTTATGGTTAAATGAAGTTTAAATGAAATTTTTTAGTTAATGAATGAAAGTTATATAAGCAAAGTTTTGTTTTAATTAATTTTGATGAAGGTTTCACTAATATAGTTTTTTAAAATATATGCTAACTATATTAATGAAATGTTCATCAAAATTAAGAAAAACAAAAGTTAATCAAGCCACAAGTTAAGTAAACCAAAATAAAAATTTTATGAATTTGATATTATAAATTGGAACCAATTTGATATTATAAATATGGAACCAATTTTTTATTTAAATTTTAATGGAAATTTCATTAATATAATCATAATTAGCTTGAGAATAATTTGAATTGATAAAGTTTTTGATGATTAATTAAATATTTATTCCAATTATATCATTGGAAAACACTAAAATCTCTTTGCAGCTATCAAAATATAGACATATCCTATGAATGGACAATGTACTGTATGAGAACAATTCTGTGAATTAATTTTTTGTTTTTTTTTTTGTTTAAAGAATTAAATTAAAATCACTCTGTTCCAATATTGTCTTATTTGCCTTTCTTTTAGTTCCATCATTGCCATTTTCTCTAGAATAATCTTGTTTGCTCTTTTGATATATTTCAACTGTTTGATTGTCAACAAAATCAGCAATGACGTTTGTACTGTTTCTGTCTTTCAAATACATTAATGCTGATAGTGAATTTGAAAATCTAAACATTTTTAAACAAATAACTGTAGATTTAATAAACAATATGTAATAACAAATGTATTAAATTCAATAAATTCAATTTATTATTTAAAAATTGATTTAAAAAATACTTTTTAATAATTTTTCAATTTATTTACAATATCTTTATTTATATTGTTTATCTTTAAAGTATTTATTGACTTCTTTTACGGAATGTCCGTAAATAAATTTTAATTTCTATAAAATTGAATCAAAAATAAACTTTTAAAGTTTAAATAAAAGTTTAAGTAATTAAAATATATTTTCCATTTCAAAAACAGAAATTTTTCATATAAAATATTGAGNACAAATATTGTTTTTAAAAAGCTTTTAATACTAGAAAATAATTATTAAAGTATTACTACAATTTATTATTATTATCATTAATAATACATATAATAAACAAAAATATTAATAATGATAGTAATAATAATGATAATATTTTTTTGTACATTTTTATATTTGATTTGATTAACTTTCTAGTGCTTTTTTTTGGATCTATAAGATACAGTTGATGAAATTAGTGAATTGGATATCAAGGAATTTCTCAATAATAATCGATTGAGTATTGTTGAGTCGTCTTCTTTAATTCCCTTTACAATAAAGTTAATTATAAAAATTCAATTTCAATGGTTGTAATCTTCAAAACTTTATTAATTTTTTAGAATAAAATTTAAATATTTTGTCTTACATTTTTATACATAAATTTTTATATATTGTCGACATTTCATTTTTAAATAATTTCTAGCAATTATTCTGGATAATAGTTTTGTACGATGAAAATGCAAAACTGTGTATAAATTGGTTTATACACAGTTATACACAGTTAATTTGGTTTATACACATTTTATAGAAAAATTTCTATAAAAATAGAAATTTTTAATAAATTTAAATTTATAAATAAAATTTAGTTAAATGATATATGAAATATATTAATTTATTTTTATATTTTTAAAATACTTTTTTATGGGAACTTCTTGCTCTTGTTTCAGAGGCTTCCTTACAGAATATATATAAATATTTTTTTATTTTTAGTGAAATTCAACTTGATTTCAATTTTTTTTTCGGAAAAATTGCTTGAAATTCATTACCAAAAAAAAATTGAAAGAATATTTTAATATATTTTCTAAAAAAGCCTCATGAAGCTGAATCAAAGTAGCCGACTCTGGGAATTTCAATTAATAAAATATAATACTCATATATTTTTCTTAATACAATATTAAAATTATTAATTCTAAATTTTTCTGAATTTCCTGGACATAAAAAAGAATTATAAGGAATTATACCCTACAAATCACCTTAAAATACTCTGAAAATTCTAAAGGACAATTTAGTGGGAATATTCAACAAACATTTCCATAATTCTTTCAATTTTTCTACACAGACCTTAACTTTCCTTCGTTAGTTTTATCACTTCTTTGGATTTGTACACAGTTCTATTCATGTACACTCAGGATTTCTCCTCCCTAGAGTCTTCAAACCAACCTAGATATGGTCACTTTGGGCATCTATCCAGATTCTTCTCGCCCTATGACAAGCTTTTACTTTTAGCAGTGTTCTCGCTCTGGCTGTACTGCCATCAGTTCTTAGGTGACACTCGCACCTTTCCTTATCGCTGAAGACATCCTGCCAGCAGGCCACAGTACATATCAACAGATTCATTGGCCTTTTGGAGTAGATCTCCATGCAAGTGTTGCCTTCTTCGCTTTCTGCACCTTTTCTATTCTTCTCTTTTCACCCGTTTTATCTCGTTAACTCCCCAAGAGTCAAAACACTGGAGTAGTTTCTTATCTAGTATCCAAAATTTATATATACAGTATATATATTCAATTCATCGAGCATACACTAACGTAGGAAATTTAGATGTAAGATAGGTTTTTATAATAAAAGTGAGTAATAATTATTAAAAATCTTAAAACAATCCTCAAACAAACCCTAGTTGATAGTAGAGATTTGCCTTTAAGCTTGTATTTTTCGATCTTATCGGTATAGCAATACATCGTCTTGGAATCTCAAGAAAGAAGATTGTCAACCGAAAACAGTTTATCGATGAAACAAAGTTGATGAAATTAATGATTGCGGATGAAATAGAATTCCTCAAAAGAAAATACCATACCAAAGGAATTTATTTCAAACAATACTCTTTATATAGATTCTTTTTCTTCTTCTTTTTTTAGTTTCGATTCTAGATAAGAAGCATCTATCATTTCTGATAACTTTCGAACATTAAAAATAGAAATTTAAAGTGAATAAGAAACCATAAATTAAAATAAAATGAATACTTACACTTATTCAGTGCATAATAAATATAATAGATGTGTTTAGAATATTAAATTTCACAACTATTATACACTCGATCATATTCATGATTAATGAAGTTTACTATAGGATTTAAGGGATAATACACGAACGATTTTTACTAGAATTTTTTAAAAATAAAATAAAATACTTTATGATAAATAATTCATTTTTATTTCTATATTTTCTCAGAATTTTATTATTTTATTTTTATTGTTTAGTTAAACCAATATCGTTAGAAATATCAGGACCAACGGAACCAGTTCAAGAAGGTGATATCATTTCATTGAATTGTACTGTCGAAGGGGCCAAACCAGCTGCCGAAATCACGTGGTATAATGAATCGAATGTTTTGATTCCTTCACCTGAATCCGAAACTGAAAAAATGCCAGATAATACTTATCGTACGATAAGCGAATTAGAAATTGAAGTTACAAAATTCGATCATAAAGGAATATTTTATTGTGAGGGATCAAATGATTTAATTAAAGAAGAACCATTACTAGAATCTTTTAGTATTGAAGTTGAATGTAAGACTTTCTTCTATTTTTATTTAATTTAAAATTCATTATATAATCTTTATAAATTAATTAAATATAAATTTGATTTTTTAATCATCTGTTGGTTGGTTAATTATTTTAAAAAATAATCTAAAATAGGTTTGTTAATAATTTAATTAAAATAAAAAAATGATATTTTATTATTATAATCGAAACTAATTAATATTT